ATTCCTGGCCTGCCAGGTATGGTGTTCATCTTGTAGAATTCAACTTAAATCCAATCAGAAAGTGCCTGGTCATTCCCAGGATGTTTATGCCACTACCTGTACCAGTGGGCATGTCTTGCCAGGCCAGTTGTCACTGTAGGGTTCACAGCCAGGTAAGATTGATTACTTTGCTCCTCTGGTAATGGGCTGTCTCAGGGTTTCTACCGCTCTGCTAAGACAACACGACCAAAAGCAACTTGCAGAGGAAAGGGTTTATTTCATCTTACAGTCCACCATCAAAGGAAGTCAGAGCATGAGCTGGAGGTGGAAACCTGGACATTGGAACTGAAGCACAGGCCGTGGAGGAGGGCTTCTAAGCTTGCTCCTGTGGTTTGCTCAGCCTACTCTCTTATGCACCCTAGGACTTCCTGTCCAGGGGCATCACCTACAATCGCCTGGGTCCTTCCACATCAATCATGAATCAAAAAATAAAAAAAAAGATAGAAAAAAGAAGACCTATAGGGCAATCTTACAGAGGAAATTCTTAATTAACACTCCTTCTTCCCAGATGGCCTACCTTGTGTCAAGTTTGACATAAAACCAGCCAGCACAACTGATCTTTGTCAGCCTCACACACAAACACAACACGTTAGCCATAACCTTTCCTTTCTTGATGTTCTCTGGGTATCATGTTAACATAAATCTCACAGAGAAAAACATTCCTACTTTTAAAAGTTCCACAGTCTTGACAAATTCAACACTTCAGAAGTTCAATTTCTTTAAAACATTTAAAAAGTCTCTCTAAAACATTGAAACTCTCTCCAAAATATCCCAGATCTCCCTGAAATAGCCAACGTCTCTCTAAATATCCAAAACTTTGTAAAATTCCAAAATATCTGTAAATTTCCAAAGTCTCTTAGCTGTAAGCTCCTAGGGAAAAAAAAAAAAAAAAGTTAAATACTTTCTTATTCCAAGAGGGGAGAGCCAGGCTCAGTCACACTCAGATCAGAGCAAAATCGAAGTTCAGCATCCTAAAGCCCAGTCTCGGACCTCTGGAGCTCACAGCCTTAGGTTTGGCAGCGGCCTGTCTCCAGCTCTGCCACCCACAGCCTCCACCGCTTATCTCACAGGCTCAGGCCTGCTCCACGCCACAGCTGCTGCTGTCCGTGGTGCCTGTGCCGTCACACTGGCAGCTCCAAAATGCTGCCACCTCCTGCTGCAAATGGGCTGCACTTTCACCAATGGCCTCTGCTGTGCTCTTTTCAGGCCCCTGCCCTGCCACACAGTGTCAAGCCTCGACTGCCTTCAATGACTCCACCATGCCTTCAAAACCATACCACCTGGCTAAGTCTTGGGCACTACCACCGTTGGCTTCCAGCACGAGACACAGCCTCAAGCAACCCTAGACCACCGTTTCTGTGTGCTGACCCTGAGAAAGCACCCCCAGGAGATTTCATCTCAGTGTTGCTGGTCTCTTTTTAACCACCACTAATTTCTCAGCTCCTGTTGGCCAGCACTGATCGTCCCAACAAAGCAAAAGTTTTGCTTCAGAGCTCTTAATTCAAAATACCACCTAAATGGCGTTGAGAGAGTCTTTAAGGGACTTTTAAACTTCCCTCTGAGAGTTTATAAGCCAGGCCTCCGTCGCGTGCATTGCTCTCAACATTGGCCTCCAAACTTCTACTGGGCAGCCCACTGAGCTCTGAGTACTCTGATTTTCCTGTCTAAAGTTCAAATGATACCACAGTCTTCCCGCAGATACAATACCTGTATCTGGTACCAATTTCTGTCTTAGGGTTTCTACTGCTATGCCGAAACACCATGACCAAAAGCCACTTGAGGAAGGAAGGGTTTATTTCATCCTACACTTCCGCATTATAGTCAGTCGTCAAAGGAAGTTAGGGCAAGAGTCGGAGGCAGGAATCTGGAGGCAGGAACTGATGCACAGGCCATGGATGAGTGCTGCTGACTAGCTTGCTTGTCATGGCTTGCTCAGCCTACTCTCTTATACTCCCAAGGACCACCTGCTCAGAGGTGGCAGCCACAATGAGCTAGGCCATCTCATACCAATCAAGAAAATCTCCTACAGGCTTCCCTACAGGCCAGTCACTTTATTAAGATTCCTTCTTCTCAGATGGCCCTACTTGTGTCAAGCTGGAAAAAAAAAAGTCCAGTCAGCACACATGCACAGTGCTGTCCAGCACTATGACAGCGATAGCCAGTAGAGGCAAAACTTTTAGATCTGTACCAGCTTGATACCTCTATGTCCTATGACTCAAACATTTGGTGTCTTCAGCAATAGGGTCTCACCACCAAGTTCTGGGAGGTAACCAATAGCACTGTCAATAGCCTTTAATAATATTAAAGACCTCTTTTCTAAAAAGTCATATGGAAACCTATCTTCTGCCATAAAAGATAGATAGATAGATAGATAGATAGATAGATAGATAGATAGATAGATTTAAAATGAAGTCACTCTCTAGCAGGATGGCAATGCTCTTACTAGGCACCACGGGCTAACAAATAAAAAGTCTTATGTCTTTTGGAGTTGTCAGCCACTGAGTTCCCATAGACCTCCAAACAGTACAGGCTATTATTGATCTTGGATTTCTGCCAGCTAAATCCACAGAAAATCAAAATTATTTTCCTGATAAAGTTAGCCTGCCTCTATTAACAAAAGCATAGAAACAAAAAAAACAAGCGCAGGCCAATAACTCCTCTTAACAGGCCTGTTCTTCCACCACCGCCCTCTAAAAGTCTCTCATCTCACAGTACTCCTGTCAGCGCCCTCAGTCAAAGTAAATCCGGAAGTCCTTGGAAGGTCCACAGGTTCCAAATGAAGCAGCCCCTTCTCCCTCAAGCTCCACGACAGTTCCCTGCACCTCTTCTTAGTTCTTGGTCTACTATGGGCCATAAGCGTCTCCTTGTTGTTCTGGAAGCTGAGTAGCCATGTTCCTGAGTTGCTCATGATCTCCCCTTACCTCTCCTAGTCCATATACCTGATATCCTCAGGAAGGCTGACCCTGATGTCATAGGAGGAAATGTGTCCTCTCCTAGAGAGGGGTGTTGAAGCCTTGACTCATCTCATTAGCGCCTCAGAATGAGACTGTGCTTGGAGATAGCCATCTGTAGAGACGTGATTAAGCTCAGCTAGGCCTTTAGTCAACAACTGGCCTCAGAAAAAGGACCACACAAACCCACATGGAGACAAAGAACAGTGTCTACAAGTTTGGGAGAGAGGCCTCAGAAGAAAACAGGCCTGCTACCATCTTGACCTGTCTTAGGGGTTCTATGGCATGACAAAACACCATGAGCAAAAAGTAAGTAGGGATGGGGGAAGAGTTTATTTGCTTACACTTCCACAACACTTCAGAGGAAGCCAGGACAGAAACTCAAACAGGGCAGGAACCTGGAGGCAGGAGCTGATGCAGAGGCCATGGAGGAGTGCTGCTTACTGGCTTGCTCTCCAACGGCTTGCTCAGGCTGCTTTCTTATAGAACCCAGGACCACTAGACCAGGGATGAACCCACCCACAATGGGCTGGACTCCCCCCCACCTCCACTGATCACTAATTAAGAAAATACTTTGAATACTTTTAATCCCAGTATTTGGGAGGTAGAGGCAGGAGGATCTCTGTTAGTTCAAGGACAACCTGGTCTACAGAGCAAGTTCCAGGATGACTAAGGTTACATAGTGAGACAGTGAGACAAAGAAACACAACAAAAACAGGAGAGGAAAAAGAAAAGAAAAGAAAAGAAAAGAAAAGAAAAGAAAAGAAAATGTCTTTTAGGCCTGCCTATAATCCAATTTATGGAAGCATTTTTTCAACTGAGGCTCCCTCCTCTCTATGACTAGCTTGTGTCAAGTTTACATAGAACTAGCCAGCACAGTCTCTAACTTCTGGCCTCCAGAATTGCAGGAAGACACAATTCTGTTAATTAAGCCACCCAAATGGCACTTTGCTGTGCCGTCCTCACAGACCTATAAACATGACCACACTGTATTCTGCACCTTGACCTTCTCTCTGACCTCTGACCTCTGGGCCTGCATCTGCCTTTTGCCCCTCACATTATTCATCACCTCCAGTACACGTCTTTGCTGAGGTAGGTGTTTAATGCTTGCAGTTTGGATCCCCAAAACATGCACCTCACGTGAGTTCTAGAAGGAGCTGGATCTTTCAATTTTGTTTTTTGTTTTTTTTTTTTTTTTTCGATTTTTAAAATTTTATGTATATGAGCATTTGCCTGTATGGATATGTACCTTCTGCGTACCCTCGATCCCCTGGAACTGGAGTTACAAACTGTTGAGCGTTGCCAGGAGAGGGCTAAGAACTGACCCCAGAGACTGCAAGAGCAGCAAGTGCATGTTAAAGGCTGGCCCGTTCTCCAGCCTCCCCCAAGCACCTCCAGAATTATGTGACATGTAGCCGGTGCTCAGCAACTACACGCCGGGTGGGAGGATTCTGATGCTCATACCACCATCTTCAGAGAGGCTGTGGAGGATAAGGAAGCTATGGTTTCACAGGGCTGGCTGCAGGAGTAATATCATAAGTAAAGGAAGAATTTTTTCCAAAATAGTTTTCTGTCCATATCACTGTCTAGCCACCACTGTTAGTACGTAGCAGCCCTTACCCATTCAGACCTAAAATCAGAGAATGTGCCTGAACTTTTCTGTCCCCCTAAACAAAGCTCACATGTCCCTCCTCAGTGCCCTTGACACGACTCCCACACACAGCCCCCACATACTGCCTACACACACACATTTACATTGCCCCTTCGTACAGTTTCCATTCATGCTGGCTGGCTGACATTACTTAAGGTTTGAAAAAAAAAAACAGGAAATCTGACATCGTGCAGGGCACCGACCTACGCTCCAAACTTATTTGTCTCTTTTTGTTGTTGCTCTGGCTCTCGGTACTGTGTACCCCGAGGAACTGAGATGGAGGTGTCATGAGTTAGTTTCACTTTGGGGATCTCTGCCTCGCGTTAGGCCGAGGGGAACCTGCACCGACGCGCTCTCACCTTGACTGAGACCCCTTTCCAGCTGCTGAAGGCGTCGTAGGCGGCGCGCACGGCAGCTCGGGCCTCGGGCACCCCGCAATCGGCCACGGTGCCCAGCGTGGCGCCGCTGGCCGGGTCGTGCACCGGGAAGGTGGCGGGGGCTGGGAGCCAACGGCCGCCCACGAAGCTGTCCCCGCGAAGTAGGTCGGCGGGGAGGCCAGCGGGGCCACGGGCGTAGCTGCGCCGCTGGGCTCCCGCGGGAACCGGACGGAGGCTGCGGCGGCCCGGAGGCGGCAGCGCCGGACGCGCGGCCCAGAAGCTCCGCAGCAGAAAGCAGGTCGCCATGGCCCGGCGGTGGCGGCGACAGCGACGAGGGACAGGCAAGTGAGCGTGCAAGAGCGCAGGGGTCGTGGGGAAGCGGGAGCGCGGCGGCGGGGACGCGCGGGGCACCGGGATGGCCTTGGGAGGGTGGCGGAGACAAGGAGAGCGCCCTCTTGCCGCGCTCCTGGAGCTGCACCCAGGTCCCAACTGGCCTGTGCTCCCCGCGTGCCCTTCTCCAGGGCCTGCGAAGCTAAAGAATCCCAGCAAGACAGACATGTGCAGACAAGTCGCCTCTCCTGCTTTTGGATCCTCACCTGTCATTAGGTCAGGAGCGCCTTCCGTTGCCTTGTACCCCAGCCTCGGCAATCTGCGCTCCGCCTAGAGATGGCACCAAGGCCAAAACTGCGGTTCCATAAACTGCAGCTCCTGAGCACTGGGACTGGGGACCACTGTTCAAAGAGGGGCCAAGTGCAGCTCAGTAATCTGTTCCTTGCGTGCTCTTCTGCATATCCCCTTCCTGAATTCGGAGCACAGCTCTCCTGAGCGCTGGAATTTGGGGCAGCCATTCAACCAGAGTTGGAGTGGGGCTCGGGGATTCCTCTTGCATACTTTTCTGCGCCCTCATCAGGGTGCTCCCAAGACACCGCAGGGCCTTTGCTTCATGACCTAGCAGCTGTAGGCCAAGCAACTGACAGGGATGGAGTCTGGCCAACCAGTAACTGGAAATGATCAAGATAGAATCAATAAACTGATTTAATCCCTTTAAACTGATTTAGACACCATTAATCCCAGCGATGACAGAGAAAAGGAGGCTCTTTGAGTTCAAGGCCAACCAGGTCTACCTAGGGAGACCCTGTTTTTTGTTTTTGTTTTTGTTTTTGTTTTTAAATCAACAGGGGTATGAGGATTGACTATAGCAATATCACCTTAAACAGCATCTTTATCCTGTTACACCTGGGCCCCAACACAGAATTCGTTCTCTCTCATTCTCTCTCCCTCTCTCAACTTAAAACAAAAAACAAACAAACAAAAAACAAAACAAACAAACATACAAAAAACAAGTTCTCATTCTGTAGCCAAGGCCGACCTCAAAGGTATTATGTAGCGTAGGCTGGCCTTGAACTCAGCAAACCCTCTGTGTCAGTCTCCCAAGTGCTGGGATTATAGGCATGTGTCACCACCCCTGACTTGAGAAACTGTTTAAAGCCTTGCCTGCTCTCCTTCTCAGCCCGACTTGCCCACCGGCCACCCCAGGACCAATACCTATGAGGCATATCACTTTCTCTGTTTATTTCTTTAAAAGCGAGACAGAAAACAAACAAAATCCCAATTTAGGTATAATCTTACTATATTAATCTTCCCCATCAATGCAGTAGTAAAAAAAAAAAAAATCCTCATTTATTTACCTGCTTGATGAAGGAAGGAGCTCACCAAGCCAACTGTCCCTACAGTCTGAGGAGCCCATTATGTGGCGCACCCTCCTTCCCACACCGATGCCCCCCCATTTGGAGTGCAGACAATTTCGCCCAGCCTCTCATCTTATTTTCCTGATGTCTCCCAGATCTTGGGTGGGTATGCTCACTAGGAGAAGCACGCCGGGAGGCAGGGGGCTTCCCTTTTCTCCCTATGTTCTCGGGCACCGTTAGTTTCCAGTTCCTGGCTTGCAGAACTCACTTATTTGTGTGGAGGAGGGGAGGGTTGCCAGAACTGGTCTTTCCTCCTACCCTGTGGAGCCCGGAGATTGGACTTAGGCCAGCAGGCTTGGCAGCAAGTACCTTTTCCCAGCGAGCTATTAAACCCGAGTCCCTGGCTCTGTCCACCCTCTTTCCCAGCTATTGTCTTGGTCCTGTAATGACAGTGACATATAAGATGGCCAGAGAAATCGGCTGCTTTAGTCCGGACACAAAAATTATATCTAAACCTGGGCCTGGTGGCTCCTGCCTGCATTCCTAGCATGGAGAGGTAGAGGCAAAGAGACCCAGCATTCAGGGTAAGGGCCGGGGAGGTGGCTGAGTGGCTAAAGGCGCATGTGTCACAGGCTGAATGATCCTGGCTCGGTCTCCAGAACCCACGTAAAAAGGTGGACGCCGTGGCACATGGCTGCAGTCCCACCGATCCTATGGCAAGATGGAAGGTGAGGAAGCCTCCCTTAACCTGGATCACTCAGAGAAGCAGAAACAGCAAGAGAGACCCTACCTCAACAAGGTGTTTGTGTGTGTGTCTGTGTCAGCACTCCTGAAACTTGCCCCCTCAGCTCCATAGGTATGCCTGCATTCACACACACACACACACACACACACACACACACACACACACTCTCTCTCTCTCTCTCTCTCTTAAAAAAAAGCAAGGCGTAACTCAGCCCAGGGAATGGAGGGTCTGAGGAGAGCCTAAACTACATGAGGCTTCATAAAAAATATATCTCATTTATCTGCATATAAAGACTTGCCTTCATTTCAATGACTTCATCCAGTTTTGCCTTATATCCATATCGAAATTTTTAGAAATAATCTTATGCTGACTACCTGAATGCAGTCTTTTTCTTGATTGAAAATAAAGCAAGAAATGAGCTTAGGTTGTATATCAGTGTTAGAACGCTTGCCTAGGGTGAAGGAAGCCCTGGATTTGATCCCCTGCACCACAAAACCCCAAGCAAAACAAAAATCAACAAGGAAAATGATAGAAGTCCATGGTGAATCTTTTGGGTGGGGACGTTTTCTTCTGCATGATGATTGTGCACATATATTGCACTTACTGTATACTAATCTCCACTTAAATGCATTGTATAGTCACTCATCTGATATTCACTATGACCCGCAAGGTGGAAACTATCATTACCTCTGAATCACAGAGAAGCAGCAACATATTTTAATAATATTCAATGATATTTAAATAACAAGGTCACTCAGACAGAGGACAGCAGAATTGGTATCAAATGAAATGCACATTCCCACCCCCCCACCCCCCCCAGGGTACCTGCGCATTTGCTTTTTAATTTGTGTTTTTATTTCAGAAAGGCTCCAAATGATGGAATCACACCATCTCTTTAAACAAAGATTTGGGTTACCCAAGGGGATATCACTAGGAAGAAAAACATTTTTCTTTCTTTCTTTTTTTGTTTTTCTCTGAGACAGGGTTTCTCTGTGTAGCCCTGGCTGCCCTGGACTCACTTTGTAGACCAGGCTGGCCTCAAACTCACAGAGATCCTCCTGCCTCTGCCTCCTGAGTGCTAGGATTAAGGGCAGCTACCACTGCCCAGAAAGGAAAAATATTTTCACAAACACGTGTATAGAAGCCAGAGTCAACATCAGGTGTCTATGTTAATATCTTTCCGGCGTGCTATTTTTGAGATGGTCTCTCACCAATCGTGGAGTGCACTGATTCGGTTAGGCTGGATTGTGAACACTAGGGATCTGCTTGCCTCTGCCTGCCCAGCACAGATGCATGTGACTGTGCCTGGTTTTTACATGGTGCTAAGGATGGGAACTCAGGTCCTCATGCTTGTGCTTTAATGACTAAGCCATCCCCCCAGCATTTCAGTTTCTTGATATTGAGAACTATGTTAGCCCCACCCCTCTTGTTTGTTGGTTGTTTCAAGACAGGGTTTCTCTGTGTAGCCCTGGCTGTCCTGGACTCATTTTGTAGACCAGACTGGCCTACTTCTGCCTCCCAAGTACTGGATTTAAAGGCTTGTACCACTGTAGCGGGCTAGCCTTCTCTCTCTTTTTATTTTTATTTTTTTTTTATTAATTACAATTTACTTACTTTGTATCCCAGCTGTAGCCCCCTCCCTCCTCCCTTCCCAATCCTGTCCTCCCTTCCTTTTCTCCTCCCATGCCCCTCTCCAAGTCCACTGATAGGGGATGTCCTCCTCCCCTTCCACCTGACACTAGCCTATCAGGTCTCATCAGGACTGGCTGCATTGTCTTCCTCTGTGGCCTGGCAAGGCTGCTCCCCCTCAGGGGAGGTGATCAAAGAGCCAGCCACTGAGTTCATGTCAGAGACAGTCCCTGTTCCCCTTACTAGGGAACTCACTTGGAGACTGAGGTGCCATGGGCTACATCTGTTCAGGGGTTAGCCTTCTCTTAAAGTCATAGCTTTAAGAGAAACACATACTCATGTTTTCATGGTTACAAAATCCAAACTTCACAAAAACTCAAGAAAGCAACATTGTTACCTAACCATCACATTGTCCTAAGTGAGGAATTCCTTCCTTTTTATTGTATTAATATATATAGTCATTCTAAACTTTGAATGTATAAAATACACAAGACACTTGGGATTAGTACTGGCTAGTGACGGAACCTGTTTCCTTCCCTGGTGCTTTTGTGTGGCTTGGTTTTCTGATATCTGGTTAGTTAGCCCTTTTAGGCGGGATTTTCACCTGTCGATCCTTGGCAGTCCTCGAGCTGCCTTTTTGTTGTCATCGTTGTTTTAAGCTTTTTATTACATCTGTTTACATGTGTATGTGATTGGCAATCGATTGTCTTCTCCCATGTGGGTCCTGGGGAGTAAACGCAGGTCACCAGGCTTGGCAACAAGTGCCTTTACTCACTGAGCCATCTTGCCAGCCCAGTTGATGTTTTCAAGAAAAAGTCTCGGTGTAGTCCAGGCTAGCCTCAAACTCCCACCGGCCACCCTGTCTCAGCCTGTGGGGTGTAAGGACCGCAGTGTAAGCGTCACACTCGATTTCCCATTATTGACTGGCTACTCTTGTGTGCTCTTAGGTTTACTGCAGTCCTGATTGATCATCACTATCGCCTCTCCTGTGGACCTGAAGAGGCTCGGGGGGGGGGGGGGGCAGGCAGAGTGGTGCTGGGGGACCCGTGAGACGGTGTGGATGGCTAGAACAAGAGAACGCAGAGGAGAGCATATTCGTTGAGGGGAAGGCTGGTCCCCCACTTCAGCTGGTTGTCATGTCACAGAGGGATGTTGGGTCAGGAGATCTTATTTTAGAGAGCTAAAATTCTAGATTTTAATGGGAATTTCCTCACTTACAAAAAGCTAGTCTGGCCAGGTACGCGGCCTCACAACTACGATCCCAACAATGAAAGGTACAGGCAGGAGACTCTGAAATTTAAGGTCATCCTCGGCTACACGCTAAGTTCAGAGCTATTCTGCCACGCATGAGATCCCCTTGACAAAAACCG